AGGCCTCTGTTCTGTTCCATTGGTCTGTATGTCTGTTTTGGTACCAGTACCATGCTGTTTTGCTTACTGTAGCCTTGTAGTATAGTTTGAAGTCCGATAGTTTGATGCTTCCCGCTTTGTAGTTTTTGCTTAGGATTGACTTGGCTATGTGGGCTCTATTTTGGTTCCATATGAAGTTTAAGGTGGTTTTTTCCAGTTCTATGAAGAAGGTCATTGGTAGCTTGATGGGGATAGTGTTGAATTTGTAAATTACTTTGGGCAATATGGCCATTTTCACGATACTGATTCCTCCTAACCATGAACATGGAACGTTTCTCCATCTGTTTGTGCCCTCTCTTATTTCGTTGAGCAGTGGTTTGTAGTTCTCCTTGAAGAGGTCCTTTACATTCCTTCTTAGTTGTGTTCCTAAGTATTTTATTCTCTTTGTAGCAATTGTGAATGTCAGTTCATTCTTGATTTGGCTCTTTTTAATTCTGTTATTGGTGTGGAGGAATGGTTGTGATTTTTGCCCATTGATTTTGTATCCTGAGACTTTGCTGAAGTTGCTTGTCAGTTTCAGGAGATTTTGGGCTGAGTCGATGGGGTCTTCTAGATATACAATCATGTCGTCTGCAAACAGAGACAATTTGACTTCCTCCTTTCCTATTTGAATACGCTTTATTTCTTTTCTTGCCTGATTGCTCTGGCTAGGACTTCCAGTACTATATTGAATAGGAGTGGTGAGAGAGGGCATCCTTGTCTAGAGCCAGATTTCAAAGGGAATGCTTCCAGTTTTTGCCCATTCAGTATGATATTGGCTGTTGATTTGTCATAAATAGCTTTTATTATTTTGAGATACATTCCATTGATACCTAGTTTATTGAGGGTTTTTAGCATAAAGGGCTGTTGAATTTTGTCAAAGGCCTTCTCTGCATTTATTGAGATAATCATGTGGTTTTTGTCTTTGGTTCCGTTTATGTGGTGAATTACGTTTATAGACTTGCGTATGTTGAACCACCCTTGCATTCCTGGGATGAAGTGTACTTGATCATGGTGGATAAGCTTTTTGATGTGCTGTTGCAATCGGTTTGCCACTGTCTTATTGAAGATTTTTGCTTCTATGTTCATCGTGGATATTGGCCTGAAGTTTTCTTTTCTTGCTGAGTCTCTGAGTCTCTGTGTTTTGGTATCAGGATGAATGTTGGTCTCATAAAATAATTTTGGAAGGATTTCCTCTTTTTGGATTGTTTGGAATAGTTTCAGAAGGAATGGTACCGGTTCATCTTTGTATGTCTGGTAGAATTCGGCTGTGAACCCGTCAGGACCTGGGATTTTTTTGCGTGGTAGGCTCTTAATTGCTGCCTCAACTTCTGCCATTGTTATTGGTCTATTTAGGGTTTCGGCTTCTTCCTCGTTTAGGCTTGGGAGGATGCAAATGTCCAGGAATTTATCCATTTCTTCCAGGTTTACTAGTTTATGTGCATAGAGTTGTTTGTAATGATCTCTGATGATGGTTTGTATTTCTGTAGAATCTGTGGTGATATCCCCTTTATCTTTTTTTATTGCATCTATTTGATTCTTTTCTTTTTTATTAATCTGGCTAGTGGTCTATTTTGTTGAGCTTTTTGTAAAACAGCTCCTGGATTTATTGATTTTTTTTGAAGGGTTTTTTGTGCCTCTATCTCCTTCAGCTCTGCTCTGATCTTAGTTATTTCTTGTCTTCTGCTAGGTTTTGAGTTTTTTTCATCTTGCTTCTCTAGCTCTTTCAATTTTGATGATAAGGTGTCGATTTTAGATCTTTCCTTCCTTCTTATGTGGGCATTTATTGCTATATATTTTACTCTAGAGACTGCTTTAAATGTGTCCCAGAGATTTTGGTATGTTGTATCTTCGATCTCATTGGTTTCAAAGAACATCTTTGTTTCTGCCTTCATTTCATTGTTTATCCAGTCAACATTCAAGATCCAGTTATTCAGTTTCCATGAAGCTGTGTGGTTCTGAGTTAGTTTCTGAATTTGAGTTCTAACTTGATAGCACTGTAGTCTGAGAGTCTGTTTGTTATGATTTCTGTTCTTTTATATTTGCTGAGGAGTGATTTACTTCCAATTATGTGGTCAGTTTTAGAGTAGGTGTGATGTGGTGCTGAGAAGAATGTATATTCTGTGTGTTTGGGGTGGAGAGTTCTGTCAATGTTTATTAGGTTTGCTTGGTCCAGGTCTGAGTTCAAGTCCTGGATATCCTTGTTAATTTTCTGTCTTTTTGATCTGTCTAATATTGACAGTGGGGTGTTAAAGTCTCCTACTATTATTGTGTGGGAGTCTAAGTCTTTTTAAATCATTAAGAACTTGTTTTATGTATCTGGGTGCTCCTGTATTGGGTCCATATATATTTAGGATCGTTAGCTCTTCTTGTTGCGTTGATCCTTTTAGCATTATGTAGTGTCCTTCTTTGTCTCTTTTGATCTTTGTTGGTTTAAAGTCTATTTTATCAGAGACAAGAATTGCAACTCCTGCTTTTTTTTGCTCTCCATTTGCTTAGTAAATCTTCCTCCATCCCTTTATTTTGAACATTTGTGTATGATTGCATGTGAGATGGGTTTCCTGGATACAGCACACCGATGGGTTTTGGCTTTTTATCCTGTTCTCCAGTCTGTCTTTTGATTGGGGCATTTAGCCCATTTACATTTTGGGTTAATATTGTTATGTGTGA